GGTGCACAGATCACTGTTGTTGTTTTTTTTGCTTGGGGAGGCCAAAAAGCCAGAGCCGGCCCTGGTTAGGTTCAGGTGTTCTTTTGCTGTACTGCCATCTGTTTTGCTGTTTATGGATTCCAAGGCACACAATTGTGAATTTTGAATCAGCTACATTAATGTCATCTACATATTTCCATAAAGTGATTGAAGAAAATATATCATTTCATTTTATTTTTAATCCATAGACTCCGAGATCAATAGTGGTGTGATAGATTTTACTTGCAAAAAAGGTTAATGCTCAGATAACTTACCTATAACCACATGGTTTAGAAAACACATATTTTGTTCTGTTACTTGCAAATTGCAGATCAGAAAGACTCCTCTTTATTTTTAATCAGAAAGAGACATATTAATTTTGTAGATAGAAAGCAAGGGCTTCAAATGCATCTACATTTACATTTTGATGTTGACATGAATGAGAAAGATCAGTTGCAGTTTCTAATATGAACTGAGTGCCAAAAGTTCTTAACTGTGTAAATTATTACAATTTTGGAGCCTGAGCCATCTCCCTTTTAAAGTCAGTGAGAGTCTTTCTGTTCACGTTCATGAGAGCTGAATGAGACCTTCAGTTTGTTGAGATACGATTTGCACAGCAGTAGAGCTATTCACATAAAATCTGCAGGATTCAGCCTTAATCTCTCATACAAATTTTATATTCTGGCTTTTGAAGAGCGTGCCTTCTTGATTTGACAAGGGCATTATATTTCTTAGTACAGCTGTATTAATTTCGGTGTTGCCTCAAATATTTGAATAGTCACTAGAGATGGGTAGAAATTGGAATTTCCATTCCACAGAAAATTCAGATGTTTCAAAATTTGGTTTTGTTCTAAATCATAACAAAAAGCTGAAATTTCCCATGGAAGAAACATTTTTTAAAAAATCAATTACCGTTGAAACATTTAATTTAGATAAAGTTGAAACATTTATTATAGATAGAGTAAAAAAATCACTTTGATAATATCAAAACTGTATAATTATAATGCATATTAAAATTTATATTTTAAAAGTCAAAATGAAATTAATCGAAACAGGAGTCAAAATGAAGCATTTCAACATTATCTAAACAAAAAGTGAAGGTTGAAAGAGTTAGCTTTGACTTTGTTCTGTTGAAAATTTTGTTGAAATTCACATGTTGCAGCAAAACATCTTGATTTCAATGCAACTGCATTTTAATGGCAGAAAATCGTTCCATCATTATTATTTTTTTACCATCTCTAATAGTTACGATATCTCTTTAATGTACTGTACCAAGTCGAAGCAAGTCAAATTGAAACTGTAAATAAGGCATATATTTTTAATACTGGAGGTAATTAACCATTCAAATAATTTACCAAAGGTTGTGGAGGATTCTCCATCACTGGCAATTTTTAAATTCAGATTGGATGTTTTTTTCTAAATGGATATGCTCTATTTTGGGGAAGTTCTATGGCCTAGTGTGGAATGCAGGAAGTCAGCCTGGATGATCACAGTGGTCCTTTCTGGCCTTAGAATATATTAATTTAACTTTTTATAATCTTAATGAATAGGCTTCCCTTTTCACTAGTTAATTTGTGTGTGCTGTCTTTTTTTAGTCTTACAATAACAGACTGGCGACTCCAGGTAAATTATCTGCTTTCCAGCTGGCAGTGTATCTAAAGCTGCCTCTCACTCCCAAATACACCTGAGTAGCAGAGTTTACAGGCACTTCTTTATATTACAGAAGAAGGCATTTCAGGCGGAAGCATTGGTATCTGTTACAACTTGTGAGATTACAAAGCAGTAAGTGCTAATTAAATCTTTATTTATGTAGAGAAAAATATGCAGCTTTAAGTGCCTTCTTCGGTAATGCAACAAAGTGGATTGTAAACACTACTAAGCCAGTGTTCTCAGGAGCTATAGACAGTGATACTTAGAGATAAGATTTCAGATACCTTTGGGCTGCTCATGTGGCGTGACTAGTCTGGCCATAATTTTAGATTGAAAAACTAGAGTATTCTTCTTGCCCTGCCTCCTCTCAACACATATACTTAAATTCATCCTGTACCATCCTCTCCTGCCATTTTCTCATCTCGTTGCAGTTAGGGCCGCCCAGAGGATTCAGGGGGCCTGGGGCAAAGCGGGGGAGCTGCGACGCTTGTACTCACCCGGCGGCAGTCCGGGTCTTCGGCGGCATTTCGGCGGCGGAGGGCCCTTCAGTCGCTCCACGTCTTCGGCAGCACTGAAGGACCTGCCGCCGAAATGCCGCCGAAGACCCGGAGCGACTGAAGGGCCCCCCACTGCCGAAGACCCGGACCGCCACCGGGCCAGGGCTCGCGGGGCCCCTGCGGGGCCCGGGTCCTGGGACAAATTGCCCCACTTGCCCCCCCCCCCCACTCTCTGGGCGGCCCTGGTTGCAGTATCTATTCTTCTGCATCCCACTCTACTGATTTCTCTTGGTGAAAGCCCCTTTATTTTGCCCCCCCCCCCAAACAGAGGCGACATGTGGGGAGGGAGTCACGCGGGCTCACGTGCCACTTCCCACCCCCCATTTGTGCAAGCACAGAGCAGGGTTTGCTCAACCTTCTCAGGAGGGGGACTCTGTCCTTCCCACACTGCGCCTCCCCCCCAGACAGCCTTTCCCCTGCACTCTGGATTGCTGCCTCAGCAGCTGAACGCCATCTCCTGGGTTCTAGTGCCTACCTGTACCCTGTACAGCAGTGAGTGCCCATGGGGGGCATGGCAAGGGGAGGGCAGGGGGCAGAGGGGTACGGAGTGGGGGATGGGAAGAGACAGTGGCATTGGGCAAGGGGAAGGGAAGAGGTTGGAGGATGGGTCAGTGGGGAGAGGAAGGCGGAGGGGAGGGGGAAGAGAAGGGGATACAGGAATGGGCAGGGGGAAGCAGGAACCCAGCATATGGCGTCCCCTCGGCAGCAGCTTCTGTAGTAGAAATTTTCACTCTGTGGTTACTTTATAGAGCACTTGATGATAATCCAGGTAGAGCTGGCAGGTCGCAAGATGCTGACTTTCCTCCTTGTTTCAATATGTGAAATAAAATATTATTGGCAATGTGTAACATAGGTTCAGCTGCTTGCTGAGGCACCAATCAAAGTACTTAAGCATATGCTTAACTTTAGGAACTGAATGGGACTGCTAATGTGTTTAACATTAAGTTGGTGTTTAAGAGCTTTGCCTGATCAGACTTGAGGATTGTGAACCACGTTTATAGAATTTCCGGTCTGTAGTTGCAGCGGAACGTCTCTAGATTCTTCTCTCATCCTCTCAGACATTCCCCTGCTTCCCCAACATCACTCCAAATCCCAGACAGACATTTAGAAGCTACTTGTAGTCTTTTGAAAATGTGCAGCATCAACTAGTGAGCTAAGAAGGGTACTCTGGTGGAAAAGATAGATATAATTTAGGTGAACAGAATGGCCAGATGCATGAAAAGCTCGGCGCTATTTACTGTTTATGTATGTTTGGTTGCTTGTGCCAGAATGCTCAGCTGTTACACCTCCAAACAGAACACACATGTACAGAGCATACTTTACTAGTCACGTAAGGCTGCTAATTTTGACACCTGTATAATAAATCTGTTGGCTAGATGCAAACCTGTGGGCTGTGAAGGACTTTAGAAAAATAAGCAGAGAGGTGACAGTTCTTGTAAGAACTTTGATTCAAAAGGCAATAATTACAAAAAAATGTAGAAACTGAGCTAAAAATATTTAAAAGGAACAAATACAGAAAAAAAGAGAGGTCAACAGTTAGTCAGCTGAGAATGCATTACCGGAGAAAAGCAACTCCTTGCAAAGTGAACTTTGACATTTAAGACCATGCTTCTGGACGTCTGTAATAGTTATCATCCAGTCACTAAGTGTTTACAGTCGACTCCTTACAAATTTAAAACTTCATTCCAGAATCAACTCCTTTTTTCATTTTTTGACAACTCATGAGTA